TATATGAATTTCTACTCAACTTCATATTGTAATTAGTATACTCTTGTGACATGTGTTAATATGAGTCACTGATCTCGTACAAAATTTTCTCTATTATGGTAAATTGAGGCATAGTCAAGAGAATTCTAAATGAAGAACCTGGTTCATCAGTATTGGTTTATTTGAATGCTAAGGTATGTTTTCTATACTCTGTATAATTAGAAATATAAGTATTTAACTCGTGAGCAGAAGTCCTACAATGGTTCAAATCCTTAGAAAATTCTATCTGTTTGTTTTTGAACCAGTTCCGTCCACCTTAGAACTCTAAACCTCAAAATTTACCTAAAATCTAGGGAAGTATAACCGCTCATTCAAACCTAAAATTTCAGGTTGATTAGACCTCTAATTGACCACTGCCAAAATTATCGTTTTCCATTAAATGAGTATTTCTTTTTAAATACCATCATTACCTCATGCCATCTTCATAATTCCAAAACGTCAAAAATCCCTCTTCACTTTCACTTGCCTTCTTCTCCAAAATTCCAATTCACCTATTCTCTCCAGAAATCATCGATAATGACAAACCCACAAAACAACCCTGGAACTCCTCCATAACCCACTCCCTCTGATTTATCTCCCTTTCCTCCACCCAGCAGAACTCCCAAACCCAGGCTAAGAAGGGTAAAAATGCTTTCTCAAAAAACAGTAGCTTATGGGGATCATTCAAAGAAGTTGAATGAAAAATTAAAGTCAAGCCAGTTCCAAGACTCTGAGTCTAACTCTGATTCTGAGTCGTACAAAGTCTGCTAGTGAGGGGGAAGAAACTGGGTTTTTGACTTGGAGAAGGCTCAAGATTCCCATTCTGTGGTAATTTCTTCTGTGTCTGAGAATTTAGAAACTAGGTTTGTTCTGGTTGGGTCAATCAAGAATGTAGAATTACCTGAAGTAGGTAGGAGTGGTGGTAAAAAGAAATTTGCAAAAGAAAAGGAGAGAGAGTGTGCATGTGGTGAAGAGGGCGAAATGGGAAAAGAGTGGTTGATCATTCACCCATTGCTAGTTTATCTGTGCATGCTATCTATGGTGTTGAACAAGAATATGTAAAAAAGAGTGGCAAGAAGTTAGGGGGAAGTGGTTTTCGTGAAGCTGCTGAAGGGTTGGTTAACTTAAGTTCACAAAGAGATCGACCTGGTTCATCAGTTGAAGAGACCTTATCAAACCTTTTGAAAAAGGTTGAGGTGAGTTATGATCCAAAGAAAAGAAGAAGTACCACACCAAAAGCCCCCAATGCTCCTAAATCTTCCAATAAAAGAAAGGCTTCCTCCCCAGTACCTACTGACACTTCCTTGCCAAAGGGAAGAGCCACAAGAAGCAGGGTGAAATAGAGTGAGGTTGATCTACAAAGGGTTTTAGCTGAAAGTAAGAAGAAGAGAATGGATAAAGGAAAAGGGAAGGTTGCATAGTCCTCAGAGGATGCTAAAGTTTAGGAGATGGAACAGGTCCATCAAGAAAAGGTTACAACTGTGGAGGTTCAAACCCCCAAGCCCAAAAATCCGAAGACTTCTTCCAAGAAGTCTTCTTCCATGTCTGTAGCTGTTGAACCTTCACTAGCCAAAAAGACAAGGTCTGTAGTGAAAAGTAAACAAGTAAGAATTTCTGAAGATAAGGAATGGAGTGGAGAATAAGAAGAAGATGAGTTTGATGGTGAACAAGACAAGTTTTCTATGTTTGGCAAAAAAAGATTTTGAAGGGTAGACTACTAAAAGACCTAGTAGAACCAGGAATGATAAGACTGGTGGATGCCTTAGTTGCTCAGGAATGGAAGGACACGGTCCTTCAGATGGATGAAAAGATAGCCAGGAATGAGATCATTGAGTTCATGGAAAATGCATAGGTTAAGGGGGGCAAGGTTAGCAACCTAGTGAAAGGAGTTCAAGTGTCCTTTGATGCAGACAAACTGGGAGAGAGCCTTGATATACCCTCTGAAGGGTTTGATGACTATACAAGGCAAAGGTGGCTTTGTCTGGACTTCCTTACTATTGGCCTTGAAATTACCGGGAGGTTCTGTGATACTGAAGATGTGAATGAGGCTAGGGCTGTTCAGAAGAGTGAAATGAGGCCACATCACAAAGTCATCTTTGAGTTTATCAACAAGTGTCTACTGCTCAGGCAGGAGAGAAGGTATATTGCAAATTATATGGACTTAGTGCTAATGGAGTGCCTGGAAAGAGGAATACAAATAATTGCATGCACTCATTATCAAGCTACTGGACATGGTCATTAATGGCTCCAAGTCTCATGCTACCCCCTATGGCTTTATTTTGACTACGGTTCTGGATATGTGCAATATGCCTCTGAAAAAATGGGAAATGGCCTCAAGCAAGGACCAGTTTGGCATTGATACTCTGATTGCTTGTGACTATATAGTCAATACCATCCCAAATGAACCTGGTTCATCCAAGAAGACTCCTATCAACAGTAAAGTCATGGCTCTTGTTCAAGAATGTGAAGCCAAGGATGTTGAGATAGCAAGGCTCAAGGCTTAGCAAGGCTCATGTGGCAGAGGTGGAATCTGAGAGGGATGCACTCATACCTGAGCTTACTAAAGAAAAGGAGAAGAATGATGGAATTCTTCACAATATGCTGAATTTTCTCCAAACCCAAAACCAACCCTCCAGCTCCCCAAGCCTTAGGAAGCCTAGCCTTTGTTTCCTGAACTTGTCTGGTAACTTCAATGACCCGGATTAGGGATGTTTCTTTCTTTTTTTTGCTCATGTTTTAAATATTTTTTTCTTTCTAGTTGTGGAGTGTGATAGCACCATATCTTCGATCAATGATATCAACTGCTTTTGCTCTTGATCGGTGCTAATCTTTCCTTGATAGTTTAAATATGTTTGCTTGATTACTGATGATTAAACGATGATTGTACTTGCAGTTGCCCCAGTGGCTATAAGTACTTATTAAAATCTGAAGTTAAACTTAAATTGAGAGCAAAAGAGCAAGGCGATTTTGCAAGCAATTTATGTATGATTCGAATGTTCAATCCTAAAGCTACTTGAACGAGATAGAAGAACCAGTTCCAAGTGTCTATCTTTTATTCTAGTTCAATTGTAGTAGGTGATTTTACATTATACCTTTTAGCTTTTATAGAAGCAATTGTATTAGGTACTTAGAGTGTTCAAGTTAGAGTTAACTTGAAGTTGTCGCAACAGTTGAGGTTGTGTGCCACAACGAGATTAGAGTTAATCCTTAGGTTCACAAAGAATTTTGTAAATGTTATTTTCACTCGGTGATTTTAGTGGAAATTTAGAAAAATTCTACTGAGTAGTAGGTCGTGGTTTTTTTACCTTTTAAGCCAGGTATTTTTCACGTAGAAATCTTGTGTTCTTTATTTTCTGTATTTATTATTTCATAAACAGTAGTAGTTGGAACACCTAGAAGAACCAGGTCCTTCTATAGTTCACATAAACGAAAATTGGGTATCACACAAATCATCTTCCTCTTGTGTGGTATTGACGTTTAGAACATAAATGCTGATTTTCTTAGGCATCAACGTTGTGTGAGATGTTGACATCGTTATCTGCCATTTTCTATGATTTTTGTTAAGATAAAGAATCAAACGGGTTAGTAATAGATGCAAGGATCAACTCAATTAAACAACTATATAAGCCTCACGGTGGGCGCCAAACTGTTTACCCGTAAAATGATACAGTTAAATCTACACGTAGTTTATAGACAAGTGAATTGATTTTATCCTAACATAATAAATAAATTAAACAAGAATGTAAGACTTAGCGTTGAAATTGAGATAAGATAATAGAAATCCTGGTTCCGGGAATAGAGCTTCCGTAGGCGGTAGTAACGATATTAATAAGCAAGAAGATAAAATGTTATTGAGCTTTGAATTGTATGTAGCATAATCTTGCCAGAAAATTTCCTCCTTTACAATAACTGTTGAGTTTACTATTTATAGTTGTTCCTAGGAAACAAGGTTCTAGGATCAAGTCCCTCTTAAATGACAATTATGAGTGCCATTGAAGAATGTATAATGATAGGCAATGCATGCCATATTCTAACGACCTGCGTACTTAATGCTATAGAATATTCTCCTTTAAATACTACTAGGCAACAAGCATTTTTTTTTTTGTCTTTATGAACAACATTCCATTCAGGAACAAACAAAACTATTGCCTTTGGACCTAATTGTCATTTGCCTCGCTTTTCATTTGCCTTCGGCTCCACATATCGCTTTAGTATACGAATATTTAATATGAACATATTTTACCTTATACCTTCTCAATTATAACAAAATAAAAGAGAATTGAAGGATCTCGATTGAAACTAGGAATCGTTCCTGGATTTTATGCTAGTAACTAGTAACTAGTAAAGGCTCAAGAATCAGGAATCCTTTATGTTCCTTATTTTAGTTAGGGGTAAAAACGTCAATTCAGTCGGACCATAAAAAAAACGTTTTAAAACTCTTTGAAATTTGACTATTTCAAAGTCAAAGCCGGTTTGGTATGAGAGAACAGAGCAGTCATTGGCTTCTCCAGCTCTGGCGACTTTTGTTCCCTTGGCTGGCACATTCACTAAAATATGTTCTCCTACATAATTATTGTTATTTTTTTGTTCTACTCCTACCTGATTATTGGAATTATCTCACTTCTATTTTGTCAAAAACATCATCTCTCTGTGAGTTTTCCTTTACTTTTACTCTCATGTTTTGATTTTTATGATTTTTGCTGAAATGGGGGTTTAGCTTCGCTAGAAATAGTCCAAAAGGGTCTTGAATTCTTGGTCTGTTAAAGCGCAAAACTCAGTAACCTCTCTGTTTCTTCAGCTTATGCTACTTTCCATTTTCGTTTAAATATTCAAGTTTTGGTATTTTATATGAATTTGAACTGGGGTTTTGTTTATGGGTAGCATAATTCAAAGGGGTGTAAGAGTGTTGAGGAAAGTTGATATCAATTTTTGCGGTGAATCCAGGATTTAAGCTCTGTGGGTTCAACCTATAGTTCTTTGCATTGAATTCGTTATTTTTTTAAAGTTATGATTTATATCTACTATTTATTGCAGTTTTACTGGATCTTTGCCTATAAATTTATAAAAATACTGGGTTCATCTGAACCCAGTAACTCAAAGCCCCATCCACCTCTGTTGCTGCCTAAGTACCTACCCTTGCATAATTCTTGGTATTTTTGCTCAATCACTATTTTATTCTTTTATTTGGAATACTTTAAACCCAAAACATTTTTGTTTTTCTGCTTTTGATGAGTTTCTCTTTTCCTCTGGTCTCAAAATTCTTTAGACCTTTTTGGCAGTTGGGTGTTTTTGTTTGTACTTTGAAATGGGTTGTTCGTAGGGACTAGGAACCGTATATTTCTCAGAACGCTTTCTGCGTTTTGATTGAACTATGACATTCTTTCAATTTGTTTCTGTTCAGCCATTGCATAGCTTGTGGGGGTAAGAGTCTGTTGTTTTCATCACAATGGGAGGAAGTTCTTCTAAGAATCAAACCGCTAAAAATAAGTTAGTGAATCCTTACTCCCAGAGTGGCGTGAAAGGATATCCCTATGAGAGGCAACACCAACAACAGCCACATGAGTTGCAGAAGCAGAGGAAGATGCTAACTCCACCACAATCACAGGAGAGCAAGGACAAAGAGAATCAGGAGCCTGGCACACAACAGAGCATGCAGTCTAGGTTCGGTGGCTATTCGAGCAGTGAGGAAGAGTTTTATGATGGTATCCCGAGGTTTCACAGGAGCTCTTCACGAAAACCTAAACCAAGGAGGGTTGCAAAGGTCGATAAAGATCTATAACTATGCTTCAGTAGATTTTCTCTCACTATTATACGTAAAAGGAAGTTGTCTCGAAAGACCTTCAAATCCTTTGATTCATTGCTAGGGTACAATGGAAGAGGAAAATCCATATAGGTGATACCTACTAGTTGGGAATAGGGTTTAAATTTGGTAGAGAACTTCTAGCATTATTATCAGCATTATTATTAATACTATCACTATTATTTGTATATATTTATCTTTTCTTACTTGCGCTTTTATTCTATTTTGGTAGTGATGATGATATGAGTAATGAAGGGAATGGGGATTCATATCGCCGACCCTAACTTGTTTGGGACTGAGGCGTAGTTGTTGTAGTTGTATTATATGTAAAAGCAAAATATTGTTACTCAATTAGAAATTTGTGGACGTCTTGTTTGTTTGCTGAAAAGGGGGGATTCAGTTGAACTTTGGTTAGCCTAGATGCTGTGAGGATAGTCTGTGGAGATCTAGAGAACCAGTTAAATGTTGGAAACTAGGTCTGGATAAGCAGCCCCATTGTTTCTCATTTACTAGGATCTTTATCTAACCGTCCACAAAAAACTTGTTTAGATAAGTATTTGAATGGTAGTACTATTTATCAGCTTATTAAAGGAGAACTTGACTGTTTACAAGAAGTAAAAGCAGAGGTGGATTCATAATTGATAAATGTGTTCCTGGAAATTTATGTTTGCCAACTGTTTTGTAATGCTCGATATAACATGCAGGCTCCTAAATGTTGTAGGTTGCAGAAGTAAGTTCTCGTCTAGGTAGAGCTGGAAGTGTTGGACATAATTGGGAGCAGCATGACTAATTTGAATTTAAGCAGTGGATTTGTTTCTGGTGCGACAAGCAAAGGGAATGAACTATCTATTTTGTCATTTGAGGTTGCAAACACAATCGTTAAAGGTTCTACTCTTATGCATTCACTTTCAAGAAGAAGCATTCGACAATTGAACGACGTGGTGCTACCTTCAGAAGGTGTGCAGCTGTTAGTATCAAATGACATGGATGAACTTCTTAGTATAGTTGCTGATGATAAGAGGTTAGTAATGGAGAGAGTAGCTTTACTTTAATTTTATTATTGGTGAGCCTTCTTTGAAGGGGGGGCTTATCATGTTCACTTTTCCGAGTAAAAGAATTACTGATATGGCGTGCATCTCAGGAAAGAGCTACAGATTTTTACTGGAGAAGTAGTTCGGTTTGGAAATCAATGTAAAGATCCACAGTGGCACAACTTGGGCCGCTTCTTTGAGAAGTAATATGCAGGATTCTTACCTTTCCTGATAAATTACTATATATTGAAGATTTTACTGACACTACACTTTAATATTTCCAGATATAGGAGAGAACCTACCCCTCAGAAACAATTGAGGGAAGAAGCTGAACTGATGATGCAGCAACTGATAACCCTGGTTCAGAATACAGCTGTTAGTATTATCGTGCTGCCATAAAGTCAGAATTATAAAGTTCTAGTGTCATTAGAGCTTTGTAATTTTAAAATTATTTACTGAGATTTATTTTAATAAAAATCGGCAAGAGACAAATTTTACACGTTATCGTGTAAATTGAGTTGTCTTTAATTTTATGATTTCCTTTTTTTCACCAAGCGCGCACACACAGACACATGCTCTGTTGTTGACTTTGGATTAGTGTGACTAGTTTGTGGTAAACTACTCTCAACCTTAGTCATCATCAACATGGAGGATTAGGTCCAAGAAGCAATGTTGACTTTGGTTTGCAGTTGAGAATATATTTGAGATTAGACAGTAAACAACAAATTTAGTTACTAATAATCCTGAACATGGTTTATTGTACATGAATTTCCTTAAAGATCACAAACGAAAAAAGGGAGAATGGTTGAGGAAGTAGTTGATCTGCCAAAGTTATGTTTCTTCACCTGATCATTATGCATAATGCTATTATCAATTGGTCTCAACCATGTAAAAGTGGGTTGTTGGCTATATCCTTGTGTTGGCATGCCTTTTCAAGTACCAAAGTTAACATCATAAGATTTTTTTCCGAGTTAGAAAAAGAAATTCTCACAAGTGGTAAACATATTTTGTGATCTGAAGATTAAAGTAGGAACTCACTCTCTCTGATGACAGGAGTTATACCATGAGTTGCATACTCTGGATAAAATTGAGCAAGATTATCAGCACAAGTGTTTAGAAGATGGTAAATCAAATGTCAGTCAAAAAGGTGCCCAACCAATCATGTTCATCTCTTCAGTTCGGCATTTCTATTCTATTCTTATCAAGCTCTCAGCACTACTTTTGTTGATATTCATTGCTTCCTAGGCATATTAGGTGCTTTTGAATTTCTTAAATTGCAGTGTTGTTTGCTTCTGAAGTGATGAATCACCAGAAATAGAACAGTTTAAGAAATTACGCTTTTATGGTTTATTCTTGCTGTCGAGTTGCATGCTAATAGTACATTTTAAAGCTTTAGTCTCTATGTAAAAACGAAATTCAAGAAAACCATCTTAAATAATTTGGCTGCTCATTCAAGTGTTAGAAAAAGTGATATGTTGATGATAATAATAATATTTTGGATCATTTTGTTTCTTTTGCTCTTTTGCATTTTTCTGCAGGTAATGGTCTTACAATTTTAGCTGCTGAGCTGAAAATCCAGAAGAAAATAGTAAAAAACTTAAAGAAAAAGTCACTTTGGTCCAGATGTTTGGATGAGGTACCGTTTCAACCTTTATTTTTCAGCTTAATCATTTGAGACCGTCCAAATAACATATGGAGTATCATTTATTTGATTTTGCTGACAAACTGTTGGGATCAAGTTTTAGTGTTTTGATCTCTTCAATTTTGAACATATTGTACTTTGAGGATGTATTAAGACCCTTTTGATTATGGAAAAAGGTCATGGATAAGCTAGTGGATATTGCCCTCTTTCTCAACAGGGAGATAGATGATATTTTTGGCAATGCGGGTATGTACTGGCTCATTCTCGATAGCTGTTACATCTGAAATTTTTTCCCATATTTTTTCTTTTGATATCGTAAATTGCACAAGTGAAACATTATTGCTTTGATCCATGTTAGTCTGGTTGCATTTCTCTTTCCTTCAACGCTCCTGTCCTTTCAGTGTTCCAAGAAAAGATTAGGTTAAAAAATTAAGAAAATACCCCCTTTCTACTTTACTCAATAACCATCATTCAAGCACTTTATCATCTACATATCGTACAGTTATGAATCACTCTTTCACCTCTAGGTGCATTCTGTCGTGCAGTTATCCCTCATTTCTGAACCTTTCTGCTGTCACTATGCCTCCCATCTTGGGTTAAGTCCTATGACTACTAATTTAAAGTTCCGTTCAAGGTAAATGACGTAATAATTAAATAACTTATAACTGAATTAGAGAGACAGGGAAGATCGTTTTCAAAATCCTCAAGGCCAGACTTCATTTGAATATCTCTAGTTTAAATACCAGTCCGCTGGAATGTTTTGGGACTTTTGTGCCCTGAGTAATTGAGCATATATCTGTATATAGAGGAGACTGGGATCAAAAGAATATCTGCTTGTTCTGGTATTATCTTCTGTGGATTCTTCCAACAAACTGAAACATGTATATTAATAGAATAAACCAGAGACACTATCTTCCGCTGTATTTGTCCTTTTCCATTTCTATCTTATTATTCAAAACAATTGGATACTTTTGTTTGCCCCATAGATAAATAATAAGTTAAAACAAAAAAGAGGCAAAAATGCAAGTAAACAAAATAAATAACAATCCTCTACTTAATAATTTCTGATTGAGATAACTGTGACATGCAGATCCAGATAGCGAGAAAAAGCAATTTCTGGGTTGTAAGCCAAGATTAGGGCCTGCCGGTCTTGATCTACATTATGCTAATATCATTCTCCAGATTGATTCAATTGTAAGAACATTTTCCATTCTTCGTCAATCATAAGCAAGAAAAAGTGTTCCGATTTGTGATCTTTGCATCTTGTTGACACAATAATTATTGTGATCAGGTAGCCCGGTCAAGCTCTATGCCTCCAAATGCGCGAGATATGCTATATCAGAATCTTCCGCCCAATATAAAATTTTCGTTGCGATCCAAAATACAATCTTTTCATGTCAAAGAGCAGGTACCCTCTCATTTCAGTACTACTCTTATTACCATCAGTTTGGTTCTAGTAATGGTCAAGATATATTTAAACTTAACAATTGGATTTTAAGCTTGGTCCCTTTAAACTGATTTTTGTTTCAATTTTTTTTTTGTCCCATTTTTTGTTTATTGGCTACACGTTTTGTTTTCAGCGTCTAGTGAAGTTCTGCACAGTTTTCTATTTAGATCATCATCATGTTCCTTCTTTTTGCTCGTCTTTTTCTTTCCTCTCCTATCTGCAGCTCACTGTTACTGAAATTAAAGCTGAAATGGAGAAAACACTACAGTGGCTAGTTCCTGTTGCAACGATTACTGCCAAGTATGAATTCGAAACAGCTCAACTGATTACTGATGTCTAATTTCTTTGCAAATTTTTTTATAGTTTCATCATCTTGTGTTTTAATAATCTGAAACAGAGCTCACCATGGTTTTGGTTGGGTTGGAGAATGGGCTAATGCCGGGTAAGTTTCCCCTAATGGCCTCTATGCCATTGTTTTATTCGCCTTAAACAAATACGAGCACTACACTATGCTATGATTCAGAGAAAAGGCATTTCATGTGTTCAGGTCTGAATCAAATCGTAAGTCGATTGTATCAGCGGATGTCATCCAAATTGAGACACTACACCATGCTGACAAGCAGAAATCAGAGGCTTATATCCTTGAGCTTGTTCTATGGCTCAATTACCTTGTAGCTCAGTCCAAAGCAACTTCCAACGGTGGCGCTCGAGGTCACTTTTGAAATCCCCAGATTGTTCATCTCTTGATTCCGTAGACCGGATAGATATTTCAATATGAGTTGCTTACAACAATGACAATAACATACTCGGTGTATTCCCACAGTCTGGGGTATGGGGAGGGTAGTGTGTACGCAGACTTTACCCCTACCTTGTGGATGTAAAGAGGTTGTTTCGGGAAGACTTCAATATGAGTTGCTTGTTGGGGGGATTAGAAGATGTACAGACGATAACATGTTGTTTAGCAAATGAAATCAAGATTAGGGGGATAGAGAAAATAGAAAATGAAGTTGGTTTTGGATGATAAGGTCACTCTTTGTCAATATTGATTTGTTATGTTTCTTAACACAGGTTAGATTTTGTTTCATATTTAATCACCACTTTTATGCCAAATAGCCACACATTTTGCATAGGTCAATACTAAAGTTTGTGTTCTCAAATAAAAAAACTTTAAAAAAAAGATTGCTCTTGCGGAATATGCCTTCTGGTTGAGTTTGGTTGCATTTCTAGGTCATTGGAGAAACAATGAGGCATATGCCTTCTGGTTGAGTTTGGTTGCATTTCTGGGTCATATTGTATCAGCAGAGGGTATTCAGGTTGATCCGAAGAAGATTGTGGCAGTCAAGAACTAGCCTAGACCAACATTAGCTATAGCGATTCGGAGTTTCTTCGGATTGGCAGGCTACTATCGTCGGTTCGTGGAGGAGTTTTCATCTATTGTAGCATCGATGACCAGGTTGACCCAGAAGGATGCCAGTTCAGGTGGTCGGAGGAGTGTGAGGCGAGCTTTCGGAAGCTCAAGACAGCTCTGACTACGACACCGGTGTTGGTTTTGCTCATAGGTTCAGGGCCTTATATAGTTTATTGCGATGCTTCTCGTATTGGGCTTGGTGCAGTATTGATGCAGGATGGCAAGGTCATTGCCTATGCTTTGCGGCAGTTGAAGATTCATGAGAAGAACTATTCAGTTCACAATTTGGAGTTGGCAGCCATAGTTCACGCATTGAAGATTTGGAGACATTATTTGTATGGTGTGACATGTGAGGTATTCACGGATTACAAGAGTCTTCAGTATTTGTTTAAGCAAAAGAAGTTGAATTTGAGGCAGGGGGTGGCTGGAGTTGTTGAAAGATTATGATATTACCATTTTATATCATTGGGGGAGGGCTAATGTGGCGGCCGATGCTTTGAGTAGGAAGTCAGCAAGTATGGGTAGTCTTGCTTATATTCCGGCCAGTGAGAGGCCGCTTGCTTTGGACGTTCAGGCTTTAGCTGATCGGTTCGTGAGACTGGATATTTTTTAGCTGAATCGTGTGTTAGCTTGCACAATTGCATGTTCTTCATTATTGGAGCGTATCCGTGATCGGCAGTATGATGATCTTCATTGTGTGTCCTTAGAGACACGGTGCAGCGCGAAGGCGCCAAGCAAGTTACCTTAGATGATGATAGAGTTTTGAAATTACAGGGTCGAGTTTGTGTGCATAATATAGATGGGCTCCGAGAGTTTATTTTAGAGGAGGCTCATAGCTCCCGGTACTTTATTCATCTGGGCGTCGCAAAGATGTATCAGGATTTGCGACAGCATTATTGGTGGTGGATAATGAAGAAGGATATCATAGCATATGTGGCTTGTTGTTTGAATTTTCAACAGGTCAAGTACGAGCATCAGAGGCCTGGTGGTTTATTTCAGAGGATTGAGCTTCCCGAGTGGAATTGGGAGCTGATCACTGTGGACTTCGCTACTGGACTCCCGCAGACTCGGAAGAAGTTCGACGCAGTATGAGTCATAGTTGATAGGCTGACCAAGTCAGCATATTTCATTCTTATGGCAGTCTCCTATTCTTCGGAGAGGTTGGCTGAGATTTGTATCCGGGAGATTGTTCGCCTTCATGGTGTGCCCATGTCTATCATTTCGGACCGAGTTATGCAGTTTACCTCGCTTTTGGAGAGCAGTTCAGCGAGAGTTGGGCACACAGATTGAGTTGATACAACATTTCATCCCCAGACGGACGGATAGTCCGAGCGAACTATTCAGATATTGGAGGATATGCTCCGAGCTTGTGTCATTGACTTTGGAGGTCTGTGGGATCAGTTTTTGCCTTTAGCGGAATTCGCCTACAACAACAGCTACCAGTCGAGTATCCAGATGGCTTCTTATTAGGCTTTATATGGTAGATGGTGTCGGTCTCCGATTGGATGGTTTGAGCCGGGAAAGGCTCGGTTGTTGGGTACGGATCTAGTTCAGGAGGCCTTGGATAAGGTCAGGATTATTCAGGATACTGCAAGGTTCGAGATATGGCTTTCATGGTCGGTGAGCGGGTATTGCTTCGAGTGTCGCCTATGAAGGGCGTGATGAGATTCGAGAAGAAGGGCAAGCTTAGCCCTAGGTTCATTGGTCCATTTAAGATTCTTGATCGAGTGGGAGAGGTGGCTTATAGACTTGCATTGCCGCGGAGCTTATCAGTCGTAGATCTAGTGTTTCATGTGTCCATACTTCGGAAGTATCACGGCGATCCATCCCACATGTTAGATTCCAGCAATGTCCAGTCGGACAAGGACTTGTCTTATGAAGAGGAGCCGGTAGCTATTCTAGACCGGCAGATTCGCCAGTTGAGGTCGAAGAGTTTTCCTTCTGTTCGTGTTCAGTGGAGAGGTCATCCCCCAGAAGCATTGATCTGGGAGTTCGAGTCAGATATGCGGAGCCGTTATCCCCATCTTTTCCCCGACTCAGGTACTTCCTTCTTATATCCGTTCGAGGAAGAACGGTTATTTTAGAGGTGGAGAATATGATGATCCAAGCAGTCATCACTTGATGTTAATTAAATTATGTGTCTCCGAGGCCCTAAAAATCTCATTTATCATCACCTCGATTTGTGTGCATAGTCCGGGCATGTAGCTGGAAAGCTTAAATATGAAAGTTTGTGAAAAATAATAAAATTTGGTTACTAAATGAATAAATTTGACTCCGGTCAATATTTCGGATAAACAAACCCGGAGGGTCCGTAGGAAAATATGGGACTTGGGTGTATGCCTGGAATCAAATTCCAAGGTCTCAAGCCCGAGAAATGAATTTTTTAAAGGAAATTGTTTTTTGAAAATTTTTAAGGAAATTTGAAATGAAATCTGATTAGAACATGTTGGTATCGGGCTCATATTTTGCTTCCGACACACGGTACAGGTCTTATATTTTAAGTCATTTCTGTAAAGTTTGGTTGACATGGAGTCTGTTTGACGTGATTCGGACCTAAATTGCTAAATTTGATACTTGATGAATTTTGAGAAAAGTTCTTGTTTTTGAGGTTTGATTCATTGTTGTTGAGGTTATTTTGGCGATTTGATCTCACGGTAGGTTCGTATAACATTGTTGAGTTAGTACGTATGTTTAGTTAGGAGCCCTGAGGGCTCGGGTGAGTTTCGGGTAGGTTCCGAAAGTTTTAGGCTTAATAACACAGATATTGCAGTATTTAGAGCAATCTCAGTTCTCTGAACCCTCCAGCGCGGTTCGCGGTCGCTTTTGTGTTGTGCGCCGTGGGTGCTGTGCGGCCGCACTCCATTTTGTGCGGTCCGCACAATGTCACAGGCCCTTAGGTTCCCTTGGTTGTGCGGCCACGGTCGGTTTTGAGCGGTCCTCACAGGGGGTCTGTCAGGGGTATAAATAGACAGGATTTTAGTTATTTTTCATTTTTCAAAACCCTAAAAGCACAATAGGCAATTTTTCAAACGACCTTTCTTCTCCAAATAAATTGTAAGCTATTTTTAACTAGTCTTCTTCAATTATTAATATCTTTTAACATGATTTCAACTTTAAATCAATGATTTTTATGGTGGAAATTGGGTGTTTTGGGTAGAACCTAGGTTTTTCAAAAATCAAGAATTTGGACCTCGATTTGAGGTCTGATTTCAAAATAAATTATATGTTTGAGTTCATGGGGGAACGAGTAATCGAGTTTTGGTTCAAACCTTGGGTTTTGATCACATGGATCCGGTGGCAATTTTGACCTTTTTGGGTAAAATTTTGGAAAACTCATTTTCATGCATTCAAATTGATTCATTTGGAATTTATTGGTGTTATTAAGTAATTTGTGGCTAGATACGAGCAAATTGGCAGTGGAATCAAGCGGCAAAGCTATAATTGAAACTTGAGTTTGTGTTCGAGGCATCGAGGTAAGTGTTCAGTCTAACCTTAGCTTGAGAGATTAGGAGTTGAGTCGTATTTGCTACTTGCTTCTTGTTGAGTACGATGCATAAGTATGGTGACGAGTATCTATACGTTGATGTCGAGCATGATCGTGAGTCCTAAATTGATACTTGTTGTATTCTTAAATGAATCTACGAATGTTTTAGTAGATGAATTCTTCATAATGAGTAAAGACTTAATTTATTTTCGTGGAAGTTACTTACAATTGAGAAATGGTGATAATTGAAATGAGTAGGAGTTGAGTTGAGATTGGTTGTAGCTGATTTTCCTTTGCCGGGACGTGTATGTACTTGTACTATTGAATTCCCTTGCCGGGATAATCTGGTTTATTGTTAACCGTTGTCGGGACTGTTACTAAGATTACTGCTGATATTATATTTGGATCAGGTTGCGCACCGCAATAATATTATTATATATATGAGAATTGGGTTGCACGTCGCAACAGATAATATATTGGATCAGGTTGCACGCCGCAATAGATAATATATCGGATCAGGTTGCACGTCGTAATAGTTATATAT